TCACTAAGCAATCAGACATCCTGGTAGAAGTAGGTTATAGCATGTCTGAAAATGAGTTGAAAGATGATGAGGCTGGGGGCTAGGAAGAAAGGTTATCCAATCTACCTCAAAAGATAGAAGTCCATCCTCTGGAGAAACTCATCATACCTTCTTACCTAGGGAATTGAGTGTCTGAGAGGGAGAAGAGTGATTCAAAAAGGTAAAGAGAAAACCTCAGAGAGCCATGGGGGAGAAAAAGCTTAAATAATATATTTGGAAGTCCTTATTAAACAGGAAAATTATTAAATACATAAAAAGCTGAAGATGATTGTACCAGCAATGGTCTGTAACAGAGGCAGTGAAATAGAAATATAACAGCTGTTATTGTCTATAAGTTCGCTGGCCAGGATCATTCTGAATTCAAATCATATTTATAGAATGTTTCTCTATAAAAACTGTTAGAACATGGAAGGATTACAATGACAGTAGAAATTTTGCTTGAGACAAGAAGCAAAATATTGCATTGTTAGGTTTTAAATTCTATGAAGTTAGCATCTTTAACTCAATTCCTGAAGTGCAACTGCCACACTTGGATAACCTGCTAAGTAATTGCCAAATGAATTAAAGGAGTAATAACTGGGAACTTCCATAATAGAAAGATTGAAGACAGAGTGGTAGTATTGGTAAGTTTGCACATAATTCTGAATATAGGAGGTGGCAAATTTAGGTCACTGGAAATAGATCATGTAACAATCTGTAAGATTTTCATTTGCTGATATATGAGCTTCTATCTTTTTTGCAAGAATAAGAATAAATCCAACAAGATGAGATATCCTCTACCCCTGTACTCATCCTAAAAGCCATGACAGGGAGTCAACATGGGATTTCACAGACTATACATAACCACTCAAACCCACCCTCCCTCCAAGGAATATATCACTGTTTCTCCATCTCATTTTATTGATGTCCCTCAGATGTTTTGTAAAATGGAAAAATCATCAAAAGCCATAGTTAAAAGGAATGAATTGGGAAAAAAATAAGAAAAAAACTAATGGCCTTGGTCATCTCTCTAGTTGTGAAGGTAAAGAAAAATTGGTTTGAAAGCTACTTCTTAAGACCAACTTTATTAAACACTTTAAAAATTTGACGTGTAGGAGCATTTTGCCCACAAACCATGAAGGCACAGGACTACTTCTAGTCGGATCGTGGCAAGAGACTTTGTAAGAAGTGAAGCGCAGACATACTGTGTCCCCTCTTAACACATTTCCCACAAGGAGAACCAGAGGGGTAGTCCAATTTGCCGGTTCACAATCGGGTCCGGGAAGTTAGAATTTTAACACACTCAGGGAAAGTTAGAATTTCTTAAATTTACCCCCAAAAATCCCCATGGTTTCTTCAAACCCTTCTCTCATTTAAATTTGGGGGGGCTTTCCATCACAGATTTCCCTGGTTCCCATTGTTTTTACCTTTCCCCCCTCCCCCCTCCCCGAATGGCCCATGCCCATTCTTTCCCCGTCCTATGTTTTTTCCCTTTTTTTTTTCCCCCCCCCCCCCCCCCCCGTTACTCTCTTCAACTTATCAATGGATTCTCATCCTTCAGACATCAATTCAATTAACATCTCCGCAGGAAAGCATTCCCTATGAACCTCGATCAGGTAAGATAATATCTTAGAGTACAGTAACTCTTCTTTGTAGTTCAGTTGTGACTTCATACTCATTTAAGTGATTTGATTAATGTTGGTCTCCCTTGCTAGACTATATGACCATGAAAGCAGAACTGGCATTTGACTTTCATGGTCATAAAGTCTTAGCTTGTTAAGTAAGATGTATCTTCAAAGGTCACCTTGTAAACACCTGGAGATATGTAGAGTGTTGGGAGAGAGGCCTGATACAAACATTCTCTCAAAAAATCACTAGAAAAAAATTTGTTACTTTTGTTATGGGAAAACAGTGGCAGAGAAATTATTATTACCTCAGTTCTTTGTCTCACATGGAAGAATTTCCAAGTGGACAAGGCAAAGAGAAAAGTGAGATTTAAAGGTTTAAAAGCAAGATTTATTAGAGTCAAAGACCTCCAGCCAGAGTGGCATGGAGGGGGGATGCAAGAGAAGCAAAAGGACCCCGTGGCACTGGGGTTGTTCAGTACAATTCGGGGACAAAACTGTCTATCAGCAAGGTGAGGACAACTTTAACAAAAGACCTGATTTACAATTCTCTATCCTGTCTGGCTTGCTCAAGATAAAACAAAAGAGCCATCACAAGGGTGGGATAGCTAACTTGTTTTACAGTAAACAGAGCTCAGAAGGGTGGAATCACCACTCCCTTGCTATTATGATAAGATCGGAAGCTCCCAAGGAGTGGGCAAGCAGGTGCTTCTGACCTTGCTAAGGATAACTTTTTGGAGGAATATTTTCCACCCTCAATTTCCAGACTGCCTATAACCCGTCTGACTCCTCACACTTTCAGTCAATTAACTGAATGGAATCCTTTCTGAGATGCATACCTGGTGAGTACAGATTGCAGACAAGGACCAATGATTACACAAGGGCAAAATGAAGATGGGAGTAAGAAAGTTTCAAGGAAATTTCTCAGGCTTAGAAGTTAAACATAGAAAGACTTTAAAATCCAAAAGAGAAGAGAATTTCATGACGATAAGAATATTAACAAATCATTTCCCAGTTGTACCTGTACCACACTTGAAATCCTAAATTATTTTTGTCTATAAACAGCAGGAAAGCCAGTGCTATGAGAACTATGTAAAATTTAGTCTCAAGTTCAGAAAAAAAAAAATCAGAGTGAGCTGACCTGTGGTATACCAATGTGTGTGTGTGTGTGCACAATGTGTGTTTGCAGTAGTGTGTATGATAAAGAAAAAAATAATTTTTGTTGAATTATGAATAAATGTGAATTTTATTCCAAGCCACATTTAGTATTAAAGCTTTTCACCTGACACAAGAAATGCAGAGTATTCACCTGTGAAAAAAGAGGACAAAGTGATATGCGAGGTTCTCATGCACAAAAACAAATAATGAGGGAATAAGTATCCCAAGACCAAAGAGACGACAAAGCCAAAAGAAGACAAAAGCATAATGCCATTCATGGTAAATACTGTGTAGTGCATCCTTTAAACCTCCTTTGCAGGAGCTGTGCCCTTATGTTCAGCTACAGGAATGCTACGGAGAACTCACATTTTCACACCATCCTGGAGTTGCTCTCACAACTAAGGAACTGACTTACCCAAGATTATGTCCCATTTTACAGTGTGGCCCTTGGCCAATGGCCTGATAACATAGAAACACAATCAACTGGCTCCCTTCCTTCACTGTGAGACCATGTAGATGGATCCTTAAAGCTCCAGTGCTTCCAAGAGTATCATCTGATGCAACCACATTGTGAGCCAGCTTCTCCTTCGACTCTAAAGCTAACTTACTGGCTTCTATAGAAGTGTATTTCCCCAGAGCACTCATCAGAAATATTCCTGCCCACCCTATATCTCAGACAGGTTTTTATGCAACACAGCCTAGGACAATCAGACCAACAATGAGAAAGAATGTAATTTCCATTCAGTTTATAACAGTTGCTGGATATATAAGGGTCAGCCCTGGCATAAAAATAATGATACCATGGAGATAAATATGACAGCATTCTGAGCTCAAGGAAACTATAAACTGGTTGATAGTGACCAGTGGCTCTCAAATTGGAGTGAGCCCCAGAATCACCTGAAGAGCTTATTACAGGTGGCAGGGTCCCACCTCCAGAGTTTCTGATAACTTGGTTTGGAGTAGTGTTCAAGAATTGCATTTATTACAAGTTGCCAAATGATGATGGTGCTGACCCAGGGATCACATTTGGAGGATCACAATAACCAAAGGTATCTAATGTAACTAAGACATCATAGCAACATTTTGCTTTATTTTAGAAAACAAATAAAAGAATAAATAATCTCAAAGTAAGCAGAGTAATGCAGGTTCTGTGGATTGCATGTCATTGAACCTGGGATAAGAACAATTTTTAAGGATTGGAGCTGGTAGAGAGAGTGTCCTCATGAGAGGAAATAAAAATAAAGTCTCGGAAAAGAAAGAATACAGAAAGTCTGAAGTTCACTTTGACCCCTAGCATGGAAATGGCTATATATAAGGATGGATTGGTACTTAAAAGTCTTCATTTCTGTATTATTAAATATTGACTTCTTTGACAGAACATGAGGTGCTATTAAAAGTTGTAACCTTTTTTAAAAATTATTTATCTATTTGAGAGGTGGAAAGGAAGAGAATGAGAGATGGAAATGGGAAAAGGGGAAAGAGAGAGAGAGAGATCCCACCTACTGCTTCACCCCTCAAATGCCCACAATAGTCATGGGTTCAAAGCTGGGAGTCAAGAACTCAATCCAGGGCTCCCAGATGGATGGTAGTAATGGTAGTAACATAATCAGAAGAGTCAGCACTGCTGCCCCCCAGGACCTGTATTAATAGGAAGTTGGGGTAAGGAGCCAGAGCTTGAGATCAAACTCAGACACTGCAACGTGGGAAACAGCTGTCCTAACTAGAATAGTAACTGCTAGGCTAGATACCCACTCTGCAAGGTATATTCCTAGGGATCAGGGATTGAAAGAGGATAAATATTCTAACTTTACCTGTCATAAGGTCACAATCCCAACTACTCAATTCTGCCATTATAAAGTGAAAGCAGCCATAGTCCACACATAAATGAATTATGGTGTTCCAATAAAACTTTATTTATAAAAACAAACAGTAATAGCCAGATTTGATCCATGAGTTTTTATTATGTATCCTCAGAATATGTGGTTTCCACTTTTTTATAAGAAAGCTGATTTTAACAAACATTTCATACTTCTTGTACATTCAGTAAAGAGGAGAGGCTATCTTAGCTTTGAGTCTAAAAATGTTTTTCCTCATGAACAAGAGAATCATTCCAGTTTTTCAATTATCAACTTTCATGAAAAAAACTACTGAGGTCATTGTGAGTTAATTGGTTAACTGTGAAAATACTAGTGACTAATTCCAAATTCCTACACCAAAATTATTTTAAAACTTTAAGTGAATAATACAATTCTCCAGAGTTATTGTTTTTTAAAAAAAGAATGTATGTAACAATTATAGCTTTCATGTTAAATTTGCAAACACTGTGATCTCATGGAAGTTAAAAACATAATGGTGGTTACCAGAGGCTAGGAAGGCATGATGGAAGGGAGGGTTGGAGAACGATTGATTAAAGGGTACAAGGATATAGCTATATAGAATTTAGAAGTTCTAGGTTTCAACTGTAGAGTAAAAGTAACTACAGAAAATGTTCATGTAATACATATTTCTCAGGGAAAAAAATTAGAAGATAAGATTTTGGATGTTTTCACTATAAAGAAATTGTAAGGAAACAGGGAGCAGAACAGATAGGAGACAGGATATGAACCCACAGTCAAAACACATTTATTCAAGGGAAAATAAATTCTCAGAAGTGGCCAATTGCTAGTGTACATACAAACCAAAAACAAGGCAGCAGCACTGTCTTCCTGTGGACTGAGCCCTTTATATCTTAGGGTGGGCTAAGGTGCAGAGGAAAGGTAGGCAGTAGTCAGGGTGAGTTTCTTCCTATAGGTTTTTCAGGTTTTTTGTGGGCTTCTAAGCTTAGAAAAGAATGCAGAAGGTGGGGTAGGGAAGAGTACAGGGTGGGGACTGAACTGGTCTCTTGAAAGAATGCAGGGGTAAAAGAATCCATCTGATTTATTTTCAGGCAAAGAACTAAAATGGCTGGGGCTTATATCCTTGCTCCATCAGAAATGTTAAATGTCTGAAGACATAAAATAATAACTGAAATAAATGAAACAGAACTCTAGCAACAATTGGATTGGGAATTGTATATCACAGAAGAGGATATAGATTTAGAGTTACAGTGAGCATTTAAATATAAAATTAAATTTAAATACAAATTTAGCTTTTTGTGCTGAAATTTTCCATTGCATTCTTAAGTCCACCAAATTTAGGCAGGCCCTTACTCTTCCTTATTTCACAAACAGATTAAACAATTTAGCTCTGTCTTTAACTTTGCTGCCCATAAAGGCCTATCTAAATTCCTTAATAATCAATACACTTTTGATATAGCTTCTTGATTCTTCATTAATCTATAACAATATCCATGCATAAATTAATTTTTAATTAATTTTTTAATCTAATAATAATTGCATTCTACCATTAGTGGGTGATTATCAATGTTGTCATTTATGGTTGACCCTTTTAAAAGCATTAGAAGGGAAGAAACAAAAAACTGAAAAATAAGTAGCATAATTTGTTAATAACAAATTAACACAGTTAGTCAGATGAAGCATATCAGTGAAAATAACAGTGTCTCTTTAACTATGCTTGTATTCCCTTCCTAGGTCTTTTCTGTATTATGAGATTAAGGAATGGATTTTCTGTTCTCCAAGAAATAAGCAACAAACTATGAAGGAAGTTAGAGTCTCTCATTGGAAGCAAGAAAACTCCTGTAAAAAATGTGTCTATAACCAATTCCACCCAATATGACCCATTGGAACAATACACAATTTCACCCTTCCTTCTTCTTTCTCATGGGGATCCAAGGACTGGAAGATAAGCACATCTGGATTGGCTTCCCCTTCTTTGCAGCATATCTAATAGCTCTTCTGGGGAACATCACTGTCTTGTTTGTGATCCAGACTGAATGCAGCCTCCACCAACCCATGTTTTACTTTTTGGCCATGTTGGCCTGTACTGATCTGGTTCTGTCCACAGCCACCATCCCCAAGATGCTGGGAATTTTCTGGTTCAATCTCAGGGAGATTGTGTTTGGCGCCTGCATCACACAGATGTACATCATCCATATATGCACTGGCCTGGAGTCTGTGGTGCTGACAGTCATGGCCATAGATCGCTATGTTGCCATCTGCAACCCCCTGAAGTATAGCATAATCCTCACCAACAAGGTGATAACCATTCTGGGCATAGTCATCATTGTGAGGACGCTGGTGTTTGTGACTCCATTCATATTTCTCATCCTGAGACTGCCTTTCTGTGGTGTCCAAATTATTCCCCATACCTATTGTGAACACATGGGCTTGGCAAAGTTAGCTTGTGCCAGTATTAAAGTCAATGTTATCTATGGCTTAGTTGCATTCTCAGTGGGATACATTGACCTTTCTGTGATTGGATTTTCCTATGTTCAAATCCTCCGAGCAGTGTTCCATCTCCCATCCTGGGATGCCTGATTCAAGGCACTCAGCACATGTAGCTCTCATGTGTGTGTGATGCTGGCCTTCTACCTCCCAGCCCTCTTTTCCTTCATGACACACCGTTTTGGTCACAACATCCCTCATTACATTCACATACTTTTGGCTAACCTGTATGTGATTGTCCCCCCTGCACTTAATCCTATTATCTATGGGGTCAGGACAAAACAGATAAGACAGAGGGTACAAAGGATGCTTAACCCTAAAAGCTATTAGCATTCAGCCTTAAGAGTATCTTCCATAATAGTTAAGGAAGACAATCACAAGATCAGAAGAAAACATAGAAATATTTTTGTTAAACCCCTCTACCCTTCCCACACAGGCTAATCACATTACATTTCCTTCCATTGCTCATAATTTCAGTATACCCCACTAGAAGAAGCAGCTCAAAGATTCCAAAGCAGTCTGCCCCATGAAGCCTGCCCCATGAAAAGGACAACAATATGCTTATTAAAACTCCTGAGCTATAATAAAATCCCTTAAGGGAGAAGAAGTGTTTGAAAAAAGTTGCCGCACAAACTTCTTTGAAAAGCTTTCTTACCCGTTGAGATTGTCTTCATTCTCATATCAGAAGCTAAAGTTCATGATTCTAAAATGTCATGGTATTTCTTCAAAATGAAGCAGGATACAATGGCAAAAGAAATAAACTGTGAATCATAAGATATATGTTTAAATTCAGGCTTTAGCATTAGCAGGAAGTTTAATCTGAGAATTACAGTTCATGCTTGGTATTTCTGACCATAAAAGCTATAAAGCCATATTAATTGGTACTTCAAACTCAAATACATTGTTGTGAAAATTGCTGAAGCTTATAGAATCTTAAGAGATTTGGAAATAAATAGACTGCTTACTGAATGTACTTCTGGTATGGTTGTTGTGTCTAATGTATGCATATTTAGCTTACTATACTCACTTCTAGTGTATAGTCCTGGATTGGAACTGAGGTCTCCAGCTCTATATTACCCGCTCCTTATGCACAGAGCTCTTTATAGGCCTCTCAGTCCCTACCTTGTTCAGAGAGATCATCGCTGAGGAAACTATAAAACCCGAAGCCTTAAGAGTGTTCTATCTGGGATGGAGAATTGAGGGAAACCCCACTTGCTTGAGTGAGTTTTAGAGCAGGCTATAATAGTGCAGCTGCTGAAACAGTAAAAAGTCATTCTCGTTAGGGTATGGAAACTAAATGAGTCATCCTGAAAACATTTCACTCAAGTGGAACTATTTGTCATAGATACTGAAAAGTCATGGAGCCTTTCTGAATGTGTTGTAATTACTACATATATCAGTGCAGGTGTATGTACATGATCGGTTTTATATGCATTATGCATTCTTATGTCAATACATTTATGGAAAATCAGAAATTGACAACTTGCATTTTTTTCCTTGAATGTTCTTGCCCTAAGGTTTTGCTTTAGTATAATTAACCATTCTTTTGTTTCGTAAGTATCGCATTCCACCATTCAACTGGTGCAGGGTCTTCACTCTGAGACTTTCCCTACATATTCATGGGTAATGGTGACTCTACTTATGGAATCATGGGACATGAAGTACTGAGAGGAAAGCATTCTCCATCAAGAATACAAAACTGCCTGACTCCTGATTCTCCAGCCACTTCAGGGTCACTGGGGCTGTCTTTCCTTGGGGAAGAAGGGGAAGCTGAATTCAAACATAAACTCTCGTTTCTGGGAACAAAGATTTAGAAAGTTCAGACAGACAGAGCCAGGATCTCCCTGGCAGAGATCACTATCTCCATCCAGTAACTTTGGCTCCATACAAAAATGAAGGCACTGAGTTACTCATATGGTATTAGATACCTGGTTAAAATAGAGATCATGGTTGGACTGAAGCTGGGCTTGCAACTGAAAAAAAAATAGGTGTAGGGTTGAAACATGGGAGAGAGTTGAGGCTTGTTGGGAAGTTGGGGAAAGCACTTAGGCAGAGAAATGGCATAAGCCTAAAGGTGGAGACAATTGTGCCAAGCCTGAACTGAGACTCTTGTGTTCTCTATTCAGGGGTTTGGATCAGATGGGAGGCTCAAGAATCTGAATGAGAGTAGCAGATGGTGAAACTGCTCCCGTGGATACTCCCTTAGCATCTATACTTGAAGATTGGGAGGCCCTTAAGCTAGATGGCAATACTAAGGAAAGGATGATTACTCTTTGTAATACTGTATGGCCCACCTATCAGTTGGGAGGTGGTACAACATGGCCAGTAAATGGGACTCTTAGTTTTGATGACATTTCAGAACTCGACTTGTATTGCAGAAGACAGCAAAAATAGTCAGAGGTTCCTTATGTACAGGCATTTATGGCATTATATCACCAATATCATCCTAAAAGAGGCTGATCTAGACCCTGCCTCTGCTACCAAAAGGGAGGATAAGCAACCAGTAGATATAATTGATGATCCATTACTGGTGAGCCCACAGCTCCCACAGTCTCAACCTGTGATAGTACCAGAGTCACCCCAGAAGGATGCTGGGTCCCCTTCTATTCCATCCAAGTCTAACCTGATGCCTACTGCCCCAAGACCCCCTCCCTTTAACCCTTTCTACTCTGCCAAACCAGGGAGTAACCCAGCTGGGATTACCAGGAATGGAGCCCCCTTCCAACTGACAGGAGAAACACTCTATCTACTGAGAGAGGTTGTCAGTGGAATGGGAACAATTAGAATTCATGTTCCCTTTACCCTATATGATTTAACCCTTTGTAAGGAGAAAATGGGGAAGTTTTCAGAAGACCCCTCTAGTTTCGCTGATGAATTCCAGGCCCTAACCTTAGCTTATGATCTTAACTGGAATGACATTCATCTAATCTTGTATACCTGTTGCATGGCTGAAGAGAAACTGTGTATTTGGATAGAAGCTCAAAGACATGCTGATAAGATGTCAGTCCAGTATCCAGACAACCTTGTCATGGGGGCCTTAGCAGTCCCACATAATGCACCAGAGTGGAATCATCAAAAAGGGGAATCAGGCTCACAGCTACGAGACCACATGGTCTCATCCTTGCTGGCAGGGATGAGGAAATGCGGTGTGAAATCAGTAGATTATGAAAAGATCAAAGAGGTGGTGTAAGGTCCAAAAGAGAATCCAGCTATGTTCCAGGGAAGACTGGTAGAAGCAGTGAGGAAATATACCAATGTAGACCCTGAGTCTCCGTAGGGACGGGTTTACCTCAGTACCTATTTTGTTTCACAATCAACATCAGATATCAGAAAAAGGCTTCAGGAATTGGCCATGGGACTCCAAACCCCTATAAGCCAGTTGTTAGAGTACCATTTCAAGTGTTTAACAACAGGGTTAAGGTGGAGGAGAGAGTGCCCCAGCATGGGGAGAGGCCAGACCACAGGCTCATCAGATAGCAATGGCTGAACCTTGCTCACCACAACCCCATAGTTGGCCCAGGGGAAGTCCTGCAATGTCAGGAAGGTGCTATAGATGTGACCAGCTAGAACACTTGAAGGACTGTCCGTTTTCCAGGTCCCCTCCCCGGGCATGCCCCCAGTGCAAAAGGACTGGCCATTGGAGAAGGGACTGTCCTCTTCTCCAAAGGGAGAGGGTGTCTCCCGCTCCACTTATGGCTTCCTCTGAACAGTGACAGGGCCTGGGGACCTTGATGGCTCCTGAGGAGATTAACATGTCACACCAAGAGCCCCGGGTGACCATTGAGGTTGCAGGTAACCGTGTTAATTTTAATTGACACAGGAGCCACTTCCTCTGTGCTCACTTCCCATGCTGGACCACTTTTCCTTAACAGTTGTACTGTTGTGGGGGTCGATGGGAAGCCTCGATCCCAGAGATTTACCTTACCCTTAGTATGTCAGATAGAAGATGTACTGGTTTTACACCAGTTCTTAGTTATGCCAGAGTGCCCAACTCCCTTACTTAGAAAGGACTTTTTGTCGTCCTTTGGAACCTCTTTAAGGTTAACTTCTCTGACACCTAAGGCATTCATTATGATGATGGCAACTACTGAAACAAGTCCTAGTCTAGATAATATCCCTGCTGAAAGAAAGGAAGAATAGATCCCCAAGTTTGGGATCAAGGAATTCCTGGGTAGGCCATAAAGGCCACACCTGTCAAGGTTCTCTTAAAGGATAAGAATGCATTTCCTCATCAACGCCAGTACCCAATGAAACCAGAAGCTAGAAAGGGACTCCAGCCCCTAATTAAAAAATTTCTCAAACATGGACTTTTGGTACCTTGACAATTCCCCTGTAACACTCCCATCCTGCCAGTCTTAAAGCCCAAAGGAGAATATAGGATGGTTCAAGACCTCAGAGCAGTTAATGAGGCAGTTGTTCCAATCCATCCCATTGTGCCAAATCCTTATATGATATTGACACAAATACCTGAGGGGACCTCTTGGTATACAGTGTTGGACCTAAAGGATGCTTTATTTTGCATTCCCTTAAGCTCAGAATCCCAGTTTTTATTCACCTTTGAATGGACTGACCCAGCCTCCGTGATAACTCAGCAGTATACATGGACTGTCCTCCCCCAGGGGTACCGGGACAGCCCTCATCTCTTTGGTAATGCACTAGCAAAAGAACTCAGGGAAATGCACTAAAGAATGGGGCAATCTTACTGCATGTGGATGATATTCTCATCGGTAACCCCTCTAAAGAGGACTCAGATGAAAACACCATCCAGGTTTTAAACTTCCTAGCTAAACAGGGTACATAGATTACCTGGGGTACATCCTAGCTCCAGGGAAATGGACCCTCTCAGTCAAAAGAAAGGAAGCTACTTTATGTATAGAGCCACCATGACAAAGAAGCAACTCAGGGCATTTTTGGGAATGGCAGGATTCTGTAGAATATGGATCCCAGGATTTGGGTTGATAGCCAAACCATTGTATGAGGCCTTAAAGGGCCCTGATGCAGACCCACTTTACTGGAAAGAAGAGCTACAGAAGTCATTCCAAAGAATTAAAGAGCTTTTAACAGAAGCCTCAGCACTAGGGATTCCTAATCTAAGCAAGCCGTTTACCCTGTTCATAGCAGAAAAACAAGAAGTGGCTTTGGGAGTACTAACCCAAAAATTGGGTTCACTCCACAACCAGTGGCCTACTTTTCAAAACAGTTAGATTCGATAGCAACTGGATGGCCTGCATGTTTAAGGGCAGTTGCTGCTACTGCACTATTGGTGGAGGAAGCCACCAAACTGATCTTAGGTCAGCCTCTCAAAGTTCAAACTCCACACCAAGTGCAAGAAGTATTAAAATTAAAGGACAAGATTGAGAGAAAT